AGGGCTTGAGATGCTGGTGAGAACACATTCAACTCTTTTCTAGGCCCATCATTAATTTTCCATTGTGAAACTACCTTAGCGAAGCCAACAGGTGTCGCTTTCAAATCCGTGCTTAGCAGAGGAATCGAGTTAGTGAGCGTGTGTGCACTGCCGCTTGTTCTTGCTGCAGTTAAGACCAACAAGAGGGTGCTTGGAGCTTCCTGGCTAGAGGAGTTGGTAGTTATTTGGTGTTAAACCTGAATGCAGTCCTGTTCAGTTCCAGGCGTACCACGTGGGCCGAAGAAAGAAAGCTTAACACAGAGACGTTCGGGGTGTCTGGACGGTTCCTTCGTGGCCGCAGCTTTCGTGGTGGATTCCGAGGTGGAAGGGGCAGCGGCGCAGCAAGGCGAAACCAAACCACTCACAGAGCTGGTACTGGCAGAGTGTAACTTCAGAGGCAAGTTTCTTAAAGCAAGAATAAATACTGTCTCTGAGCCAGGTTTGTCTCTTACTCCTTGCCTGAGCTGTCCGACCCCTTTTCTCTCCAGTCTCGTGGATAGATCAAGAATTGTTCTGTGCTGTATCCGATCTATCCTTCAAAGTGGAGAAATATGAGCAGGCTTAATGGTTTTTTAACAGGTGATTGTTCTGTTGATTTCTTGGGCTCACCTTCTGTCTGTGGAAGCAAGAGCTGCTTGTCTGAGCTGAGGCTTTCTAGCAAAGTGTTGCAGTTGATACATGGGTGTGAATTTTGCTGCTTTTCTTTTTCTTGAGGGAAGAGCCCCATAATACTGAGTCTAATTCTATCTTTTTTTTTTCTAAATAGGTTCTAACATCTCTCCTGCGAGGATGAAACTGTATATAGAAAGAAAACAACCAACTGCTGCACTAATGTGGGAAAATGGTTCATATTGTTTACTGTCTCAGCTCAAGTGACAGAACTTCATGTACTACTGCTTATATTCTGGACTTATTTTGGACCAGCAACTGTCAGCTGGAATATTCTTTAGAAGAGGGAATGTGTTCAGGGGTACCTTCTTCAGGGTGTTTTTTTTGTTTGTGTTTTTTTAAGTGCAGACTAACTTACATGGTTCTTCTTTCTGGGTCTTTCAAAGGCTGCTATAGTCCAAGCTTAAAGTCAGACTCCTTGTTCTGAACCCTGAAGAAGATGAATCATGCTCTTTTATCATGGAACCAAAGCTCACTTGAAATAAACCAGCTATAATTTGTTTGTTCTGAGTAACCAAATGGATTCTTTGGTGCTGCTGGTCTCACTGTTCTTGGCAGCAGGTGTGAAGTAGCGCTTGGTATCTGGAAGAATGGATTCCTGGTGCTGAGGAGTTATATATATTGTCACTTGGGAATACTGGATTGTTGATCATGTAGTAGTGTAAATGACTGTACAACTGTTTGTTGGCTGGTACTGATGTGGAGGTACTGCAGGTTTACACAGAACCGTGACTCCCTTGAGCTGAAGGGTGCTGGGTGCTCCTCAGAGGCCTTGGAGCTCCTTACTGGGTCAGGGTGGTGGGAGGGGACAGTGTGCTGTGCCCTCAGTGGGACAGGAGTGGCAGATGTCACCGCTCCTGTGCTCAGAATGAAGAGTTTTTGGCAGTAGTTGACTGTCTGGGAAGGAGATCCGAAGCTCTAACTTCTCACCTCGGTTTGTACCTCGCTCATAGGTAGTACCAAACACAAACAGTTCTCTGTACTAGTAGACTGTGGTGGAACACTATGGAATGTTTTCATTAAACTAGGGATGGGAGTCCATATAATGAAGCTTAACAGATGGGCATGTTTAATTTGTTTCCTCTGAACCCCCCATACTGTAAATAGTTTAGTTGTTTTTCTTTTGTTTTTAAGAATCTGTATGTGGGGAGAGGGGCTGGGAGGGGGTTACATTCGTTTGCATGAATAAGTGGGTTAAATTGCTATAGGCATGTGTCCCTTTTTCGGTTGGTAGGGAATTTTGTTGAAAAAGCACCTTGATGACCGAACCCCTTACATAGCTAGAACTTTTCAGTTACGCATTGACCTAGGTTACTGTAAAAGCTTGGATTTATTTTTGTAGGACTTTCTTGCTAAGAGTTAGAACATAGCAGTGGGGCTGCTCTTTGGAGTAATGTAAATTGTAATTATAATAAACATGTAAATGTTTCATGTTTCCCTCCTCCTTTGTTCTGTATGTAGCTCAGTAACATCAGTCCCTACAATATCAGGTGCCTGTCCCAGCAGGGCTGAAATCCAAGTCAAGTGAAACTCTGCTGTGGAGTTCTGGAAGGCATCCTGCAGTATTTGAAATGAGCTTAAAAATGCTAATCCAGGCACTGGCCCCCCTTGTTCCTGTTACCCTGTGTTCCAGCTTGTTGAGGAATCAGCCCAATGAGCGTCACTGTTGCCCAAACTGCCCCGAGTGTGCCCTGTTCCTTGTTGTCGCTTGACAGGGAGCGAGTCCCTGGGCTGGTGGGGCTTCACTAGAGCTTGTTCTGGGTGACAGTGCTGCTGGTCCAGGAGCTGCAGCTCCTTCAGTATCTGGGCTCATACCAGCAAAGCAGGGTGTGGGCTGGAACAGCTTCCTTGGAAGCTGCTGCAAGCGCCTCATTTCTCTGCTGGCAAAACAGCCAGTGTGACATGAAGTGTGGAGATGGGATTGTGCTCCCGGAGTCAACTGACTCATCCTTGGTGGCTGTGGCAAAAAATCATTGACATCTGTGTAGTGATGGCTTTTTTTATTCATTTTTAGGGCAGTAATTCCCCTTATTGTATCTGAGGCTTTACTGGAGAAACAAGATGTAAGTGTTACAGATCCTGCTGATGCTGCTGTAGTATGGACATGTCCCAACCTCTGCGTGTGTGCACTGTCTCTGGCTCCTGGTGCATGTGTGGGAGCTGCGTGAGGGACTATGGCTGTGGTGGAGCCCTGGGGCTGGGTACTGGGGGGCTCTTCTCCACCAGGAGCATTCCTGGGGTGGGCAGCTCCCCCCAGGGCTCTGCTGCAGCCGTCAGCTTCAGGTGGGGTGATTCCCAGCACGAGGGAATGATGCTGGTGAGCTGTGCAGGGAACCAAGCACAGTTCTTTCAACTTATTTATCAGTCCTTGGACTGAATTAATGAAACAACAGAGTTTTCCAGCAACTCGCTCTGTTTGGCTGCTGTGGTCTAATGCTTTCCTGAGCAGGAGAAACACACCCTGCAGCTTTCCTGTCCTTGATTCTGTTGTGATCCTCTGCCCACGCTTTGTTTTGCAGTATTTAGCTGTAAACAGTCTAGTTGTGGTGTGAGAGGCCGTGCAGGTTCATATCTGCTGCCTGGAGCAGCCCAGGGAGGTCTGAGCTGCCTTCCCAGGGCCCCGGGGGGTGTGGGATGTCCTGGGGCAGGGGAGCTGTGCCCACTGGAGTCGTGCTTTGCACCCATAACAGTGTGTGTGGGTTGGCAGTGGCAGACTGGAGCTGCTCTCGGGGGCTGTTCAGTTCCACCCCTCGGTGGGTATAAATAGGGCAACTTTATAATAAAGGGGCAGCTGTTGCCGTTGGAAGTGGGTGAGGAGCAGTGTGGGTGAGGGCTCAGGAGGGGCCTGAGGTTTCTCTGAAAGGAGAAGACAGCTGAGCACTGCAGCACAAGGGGTGAAGTGCCCACCTTCCCCTTCCTGAGAGCCAGGTGCAAAGTGATGCCCTCAGGAGTACAGACAAGATGGACAGAGCCTCTTGTGCTGAAGGGTTGGGCTGAGCGAGCAGGGTGCCAGGAAAGGAAGAAAAAAGTGTCTGATTTTTAACATGGGTACAGGGGTGAGGAAGGGGCTGGTGTCACTCCTGTTCACCCCTGTGCAGCACAAGGGGCAGGAGCCCCTTGACTCTGCACCCACTGTGTTTTGGAGCATCACAGCCTGTGCCCCCCTGGGCACAGCTCCTGCCTGTTTCTGCCTTCTCCGTGTCACAAGGGGCACTGGGGTACAGGCTGCAGTCACCAGAGAACCATCCTGATCAGCCTTCTCACTGGGGAGAGATGGTGACAGCAGATCACTCAGCGGGAAAGAGCTTTTCAATGGCCAGAACCAGATCCTGGAGATGCCACAATACAAACACCTATCTGAAATAAAATTCCCTATTCCCACTCACATCCCTTTTGGGCTATTTTTAAAGCATTTGAGTAAACAGTTGTCACCTGACACCTTCAAATTTATCTAGTTCTAAGTTTATTACATTGTACATGTTAATGTGTGCAGCAAGCAATGGCACAGAGCAGATCCTGCCTCTCAAGCAGCAGGACTTGGGTGCACAGCAGCGTGGGGGCAGGTCTCTGCATCCCTTGCAGCATCTGAGTGATTCCCCCCACTGCTGAAGGGATGGGAGAACTGGTCCATGCCATTGCTGGAACTGGGAACAAACCAGCTCAGCCAGAATCTGAGTTAAACCCAGCTCCTGTGGGTGGGATGTACAGAAACAGCAGTGTGAGGGTAACTACAAGAGGAGATACTGGACTAGAGCTTTGTGGTTTAACTGTGTTACACGTAACATTCTTTGCAGTTATTCTGAGCGCTGGGAAGCCACCGGTCTATAAACCTCTGGTGGGCAACCACAGCAGCCATGCTCCATTCTCAACCAGGTGAATCCTGCACAGTCAATGTAAGCTCCAAGCCATGTGCCTCTGCTGTGACAGTGCCTGCAGCAGGCAGTTCCCAAAACAGGACCCCCACCAGCCCTGCGCTGTCCTCCAGACACAAACCCAACACCTGCTGTCACAGTATGCTGCAAGGCTGATGTCCAGATCTGGCCACTTAAACTGGAAGCATAATTCCATATCAGTCGCATTCTGTTGAGGCCATAACATACCCTTGAGACTGCTTAGAAAAAAAAAAATAAATAAGCTGACAACTCAGACTGTGGGAAACAATCATTAAACAAAGTGAAGTGTCCAAGGAAAAAAATGCAGTCTTTGTCCTTTAATGGGTCACTACTGCTATTTTGTAGCCAACCAAATAATCCTAGGTAATTAAAACCCAAGGAACAGACAGACTTTTTTTAAAATAACAGTTTAAAAAAAAAATCAGTAGGTTTATTGTAGGTCTCAAGAGGGGCACAGTATAAGTGGAATGCCTACACCTTGTCTATACAGAATAACCCATCACTTGAATTAAAAAGCAGCAGCTAAGCAGTTGAATTTCATTCATCATGATGTCTTCTTCTGTTTTTTCTTTTCATTCTCTTCCTTTTCTTTTTCAATTTCAGCAACATACTTCTCAATTTCTTCAGGGTTTAGGATCTAAAACAGAAGCACAGATGACCCTCAAGATACTAAACCAACTGAGAGGCTTCTACCTAAGCAGTTCCAGTTCTGGCATGGGAAGTTAAAGGGCATTTACCCAGACACAGATACCTTGTGCAGACACAACAACATTCCTTGGCCACTAACAATCAACAGAAGTACTTGCCCGGACAGAATGTGAGATTAAGGGCTGGAAGTTAACTCAGATCAACAAGGACAGTAGCAGAGAAACTGGCTACAGAAGGGAGGAAAGCAAAACAAAGACCTTACCTTCAGTGGCTGTTCTCGCCTCATCACAGCCAACTCGATGTTCTTCCCACCGGACTGCACCACCTTAACAAGAGTTGGATGTCCCATTAGGAGCGTGGCCACTAATTAACTCTAACACCCCCCTTTCGGGTCCTCTTAAAAGGGGAAGAGATAGGGACAGGGAGTGTTTTGCTCATTAGCTCTAAGCTCTGGACTCCAGTAGTAGTGTAACCCAAAAACTAAGGGTCTTCTGGCATCCATGCACTCAGTGGCTGGTGAAGAACACCTCATTTCCACCATTTGACTTTTAGTATTTTCTGTATCTTAAACTTCAATTAAAAAAAAAAAATAGGAAAACATTTTACATATGGTTTAGCACATCTTTGGTGCCTTTGTTTTAACATCCAGAGCTGAAGTCTGTTTTCCTCCCCAGAGAACTGCTAGGAAGTTTTTCCAGGTAAGCCAAGCTACAGAAACTGCTACCTGCAATATTCTGAACCTTGAATTTCACGCCCATCCCACACGTATGGCCTACAACAGTTTTCACAGATCCTGTTACAGAAAATCCTTGTGCATGTCACAGGACAGTACAGGCACTCACATCAAGTTCACCCAGCTGCGCAGCAAGAAGTCACCCAAGGGATTTGAAACAGACCCACCTCAAGAAGAGCCTTGATGACAAGTTTAATAGTTAAATCATCTGTCTCGATGGCTTCATCAGTATAGTTTTTCTCCAGAAATTCACGCACGGATTTGGCTCCTCTGCCAATGGCATTAGCCTGGAAACATTGTGGGGAAAAAGACAACAAATAGAAGTTTAGAAAAGATTTCTTTTACAGAATAAGCAGGAAATATGAGTTGTGCAATTACATAATCTAAAACCATTTTGTGATTACCATGTGTTTTTCAGGAGACTGAACATGTTACTGCCCAAATGTCACACCAAAAGACAGTCGTCAGGCACAGGCATTCTTTTGGAAAACAGGACAAGATTTCCCACGTAAAGCTGAACTGCAGACTGCCATTCTCAGAAAATTTGATCATTAAGGATTTTTGCAGCTGTGAGCTAGCACCATCTGGCCAGTCAGATCTCCCTTTCTACACCAGTCTCTCTTTAAAGGAGACGTTAACTCACAAATATTTCCTACTTCTCCACAAGAGAGAGAATCAACTCACCTTCCAAGCGTGGTATGTACCAGAGGGATCGGTCTGGTACAGCCGGGGAGTTCCATCAAAGTCAAACCCCACGATGAGGGCAGAGATACCAAAAGGTCTGCGCCCGTTGCTCTGTGTGTATCTCTGGTCAGAAAGAAGAGACACTGATTTCAGAAGCAGTTCTAGAAACGTTTTTAGAGCAGAGAGTGTAGAGTGTAAAAGTTACAACCAGAAGAGGCACCAGAAATACTCTGCGTGGGCTCTCTTACCAATCTACCTGTTAAAGTCAGGATTCTGTGTCTCACGGAAGGCCATAAGCAGGGCAGGTCAGTGGTGGTGATTGTTCAACCCATTCTAACACCCACTGAGCTGGCTGCGTGATCAGGGCTACCAGGAAGAATCTCCCTTGGCTGGGTGGTGCTGACAGCCAAGTCTGCTGCAAGCCCAGGTGTAACGCTCTGCTTTGACAGAACGCTTAGGAAGCCAAAAAAGAAGATGACAACACCTGACCATAAGGTCAGTTTTCACCAATGATTTGCAACGACTCCATTCGGAAGCCCGGAACCCTCCGTGGCGATGAGCAGGTGACAGGAAAGCCCATGTTCCCAGACCTCCTGCAAAGTCACCGCCACGTCACGCATCAGAAGCGCCCACGGTCAGGGAGACCTGGCACCAGCAGCATCATCGCTGCAGGAATACTGTGTGAGTGCCATGGCTTGTAACAGAGAAATCAAGAATGTGCCACAACAAAAGGCACAAATGTCAGATTACTGTAAAGGAACAGAGTGAAACTTTGGGAAGTGGTGTTCTGCTCTGGCAGACTGGTGATTATTGCAGGAATCACTATTATCATCATCACTACACTAAAATGTGTCAGCGTGTAAGTAAATTAGACTTCTTCTAATCCCCCCTAGCTGCTGAAAATCAGTTTAATACACTGGCAAATGAACAATTTTATCACAGAAAGCAGTTGGGTATATTTTGACACTAATTCATGAATATCAACTGTAAAATACATGAAGTACTGCACTGCTTTGCTCCCCTCTTACTCCTCCCTGCAATGACTTAGCAGGAGGGAGAAGGAACAGGAGCCATGAAGATGTTTTGACAAAAACACAGCACCACTGTTAGGAGAGTGATTTAGAGCTGTAGATGAGCAGAGTGTTCCTGATGGCATCGCAAAGGTAGTTACGCAGTCCTCACAAGTACTAATTAATTTCTTCACCTTTGGAAAAAAACCAAAGAGTAATCAATCCTCCTTTTCTATTACTACATCCTGCTCCGACAAACACCCGCGCTGTGTTTGGTCACACTGGCTCTGACCAGCTGGGCAGAACAAGGCCAGGACAGACCTTTTACGCGCCTGGTGTGAAGCACCGTGGGTCGGGGTGTGTTTTACCACCTCTGGGCAGCCCAACGTACCTGTTTCAGACTGGCAATGTAACGCGTGATGTACTCCACGGTGACGGGATCCTCCACCGTGAGCCTGTGGCTCTGACACTCCACACGAGCTCTGTTTATCACTATTCTGGCATCGGCTGTCAGCCCTGAAACGACGGCGTGTTCTCAGAGTCGTGCTTCGTACCGGACGCGCAAATAAAACCATCAGTCTTGCCCCAAGACTAGGTCAGGGTCAGGGTCAAGGTCAGTGCCAACAGCAATGAGGAAAGCAAAGGAGAGACCACACTTTCTGAGGTTTGGTGAGCAAGAATACTGTTTGTAAGGCAACAGAAAGAAGGCGATGTACCAAAATAAGCAGAGGATTCAGTTTACAGCTTGCATGTTTGTTGAGTTAGGTAACACATGGAATTCTGAACGAGGTCATCGGAATATTACTGACAGCATTCCATCTAACAGCAAATTAGCAAAGCAATCTCAACTCTCACATGCGTTGCTTTTATTTCTTATGCAGTCCCCTAACTATAAACCAGCTTCACCAGCACAGCGAATCTCGTCCAGTTGATGAGGCTACAGCAGTATGGTGTTAGTTGACAAAAACGAGTATGACTCTTTGAAAAAAAAAAAATTAAAAGAAATTTGTTTCTTCTTTTTCTTTTTAGTTTATGCCATAATTTTCAGCTGACAGCCTCGTTTCTATTAGAGAACTTTTCTTCGAGCTCGAGAACCCACCTGCACGTATCACAACGCTTAGCTTGGACACAAGGCAGCAGAAGTGGCTGAGCCCCTCACTCCTGCACACCACATCTAAAAGCCATTATTTTTGCCAGTTAAATCAGATCTCCCCTCAACTGGCACCAGTAACACTGACACAAAGAGAGGAGAAACCTTCTGAAATAAATTTCCTCTCCATCTACACCAGTTTTTTTAACATTCATCCCTCCTGTTTAAACTTTGAACGATGGAGATTAAGGCATTTGGAACAGGAAGAACGTGGAACTGGGATATTTATGTTTCAAATCCAGAGCTGTTTATTCAGGAGGAGTCTTTTGAACTAGAATAGAGGAGATTTTTATTTGTTTTATGCAAAACTGCAAAATTCAGCTCTTTCGGCTTGATGCGTGTGGGAAAAGGTGCCCACAACTGCCAAATCTCTCTTATAGCTCTGTGATACGTATTAATAATATGGATTTTTATATATAATACATAAAATTTTGAATATTTACTTTTAAATACATACAATATATTAAATAGACACCTATAAATTTAAAAATCTACACTTAAACACTATGTATCTGTGCTAATGACACATCAGTTCTCAGTCTTCATCCTCCCATTAGACCCAGAGGACCTTGGTAACTTCAACAAGTATTTCCTCTCATTAGATCACTGGTGCACTCTCTCTCTACTTATCCATACAGTAGGGTACTCTTCTCTAAAAAAGACTAAGCAACTGTGGAAATATACTCTCTCTCCACAGTCCCCAGCCAGTCATGCTAAGCATCTTATATTCTCAGAATCCATAAACATACCCAAAGGTGCTCCAACAACTGCCGAAAACCCTGACGGGATCACGTACCTGCAAAAGCCATGCAGACATTGTCATCGAGAGCACAGATCTTCCGTACGGTTCTTTCATCCTGAAGTTTTGCCACAGACTTCTTCTCCACACCAAGAACAACGATGTCCTTCCCTCTTACTCCAACCTTCAACACATTAAAAGAAGAAGGAAAAAAAGGTTAAGCTAGGCCCAAAAAAACCTAGTAGTTGCAGACTTCACTGACATGAGTAGGAAAAAACAAACAGACACAAACTCCACACACTGTAAATAGTGTCTCGACTTGAAGTTTTGTGTTTCCTATTGCCACAACCCGGAGAAAGGACTGACGTAATGAGTCACATTGGATTCCAGGGTGCAGTTTCATAATCAGCTTATTCCAATTTAAATGTGTGTGGCTCCCAAGGAATATGTTCCCACTCCTCTTACCAAATGTGTTTTCCCCAGCTCTCCCCAAGACCAGCATCTGTGTTTCCCCAGCCACAGAAGCAGGATCAACAACAAAACTAACACTGCCACTATTCCACTGTTACTGCTCACGACAGAATTTGAAACATTTGAGTAGATCAAGTAAAACCTACGAGCAGCCTGTCAGTAGCTCGCTGCCTTAATGTCCTAATTCATACTTCGAATATCTTTGAATCTATCCTTTCTACCATCATAGATTTCATATATTTCTAGGTTGGAAAAGATCTTAGAGATCATCCAGTCCAACCATACCTAATCTCCCATTAAACCATATCCTTAAGTAGTTCATCCACCCTTTTCTCCATCAGGGAGAAAAAAACCTCAAATAACTGTTGACTTTTTTTTTTTTTTTTACTTTTGACAAGGGTATGTAGTGATAGGACATGGGGCAATGGCTTTAAACTGAAGAAGGGCAGATTTAGATTAGATCTAAGGAAGAAATTTTTCACTCAGAGGGTGGTGAGGCACTGGCACAGGTTGCCCAGAGAAGCTGTGGATGCCCCATCCCTGGAAGTGTTCAAGGCCAGGTTGGATGAGGCTTTGGGCAACCTGGTGTAGTGGAGGGTGTCCCGGCCCATGGCAGGGGGTCTGGAACTGGATGATCTTTGAGGACCCTTACAACCCAAACCGTTCCGTGATTCTTCCACACTCATTCCCACTGCTCCTCATAGGGTGACGAGAATCTTTTCTTCTTGCATGGTGGGCCTGCCACTAGCATGTCACAGATGCTTCCAAAAACATTAAACTCAACCAACTACTCAACAGGAGACAAGACCGAGGCAGATTATATTAGATATTAGCTCCACTTTTACAGTATTTTTCATTTCGGGGGGGGGGAAGAATCTATTCAGCACTAACTCTTGCTACAGTTATTCCCACTAAGAGTAAATTTTCTTCCAGGTATTTTGTTATTTAGGAATTAATACATTTTTTTCCCCCCTTAAATGGAAAAAAAAAACATTAAACGAGGAAAAGCCTGGGACAACGGGAAGCTGTGAGCCTGAAAGTCACCTCCACACGCCTTTACTGACACGCTTCCCAGTTCGCTGGGAACGTGCACTGGAATAACGACCCGGAGGATCGCGGCTCCCGAGGGGCGGT